CAGCCGCCGCCGCCGCCGTTCTCGGCGTCATTGGTCTCCTCGCCGTTTTCGTTGTCGTCGTCCTCGTCCTCGCTGAGCTCGGCGGCGTCTTCGGCCGGTCCTCCCCCCGCACCGCCCTCGTTGTTGTTGGCGCCGTCGTCTCCGGCTTCGGCCGCGGCGGCGGCGGCCTCTCGAGCGCGGCGGCGGGCCTCCTTGGCCTCCCGGCGCTCCGCGCGCTTGGCCGCTTCGTCCTGGGCGCGGGCGACGTCGATCAGGGACTGGTGGAGCCCTTGGCCGGGGAGGCGGGGGGGGAGACGGAGGACCTCGTCCGCGGCGAAGCAGGTGGCCCTGGAGAGGATCTCCTCCTCTACCAGGTGTGCCTGAGACGCAAGAGCGAGAGGGTGTGGCGTGACTGGGAGTGGGGGCGTGTGTGGTACCACTGTCCTCTTTGTGCCAGGGTGCGCGAGAGACGAACGTGTACAACCAAAAAATGTCGTCCGAAGGAGTTTCAGAGACAAGGGGGGGAGTTGTTTTCGTCAAAGGCGCCAAAGGCATCCTTCGCAAAGGGTGGTGTGTTGCTGAAGTAATAAAAAAAAATCCTGACGCCTACGGTACATGCTGGACAGTATCACACCGTGCCTGCTTTCTGGCAAAAATTGCCTGTGGGTTTGTCAGGTACACCTACTAAACAGCGAAAAATTCTGAGAGTTAGCATGCATACTGTTTGCCACAAGGGAAGAACAAGGATGGTGTATCGGTCGAACGTAGTGTTCTATGACATGCATGCAATACGACGGAACTAATTACGGTGTGTGAAAGAGGGTTGCCTCCTCGCCTCTCCTGTTACACTGAGGACGGGCGTCAAATTGTCGATGAAGATGTCGATGTCATTTTCAAAGGGTAGCCGCGTAGAGTCGCGTTTTTGCAGGGGGTCGTACCGCGAAGTATCGATAGAGACCATCACCCAACAGCTAGATCACTGATCGGTGGTGTTCTCGCGTCGAGCGAAGCCCCACCTTGTCGAAATCCAGGGAGAATATCTCCACGTCCCAGGCGCTATCGTTGAACACCGTCACCTCGCGGCTGTCCCCCTGCGGGGCGTGAGGCAACACCGGCCCCATGTCCAGCATAGGGGGGTCAAACCTAACGCGCGGCTGAGCCCCCTGCAGGTGGAAGAGGTGTTCAGGTTGGAGTTTTTTTCAAGGGCAAGAAAGCGGGTGGTGAGAGTTAGTGCGGTCGGGTGGGTGAGGATAGCAACCTGTTTCTGTTTCCGACACGGAGGAGGTGGCCGCTCTCATGTTCACCCTTCAAAGAAAGAGAACGACAAAGCAACACTAGAACGACAACACGTACGAACCCGGAAAGAAATTCAGGCTACAAAACAAGAAATATTGACCACAAAAACAGGGGATCAGTCAAGAATCTTAAGTGGTGACGCGTATTGTCGTGATGGGATGGGATTACAAATTAGTTTAACATAAAGTACAGTAGTGCTTGTTGAATTCTCCCTGTTGTCAGATGCCGATATAAGTAAGTCATTGGGCGTACTATGTGATACATTTCGGTTTCTAGCCCACAACAAGAAGAAGCACTGGCCACTGTATGGTCGCTCACCCGCCCCTGTAGCACCACCGAGGCGTTTTTGGTCGTGCTCGCGACCCTGACCGCCATCTTAAGGGAGTAGACGCGATCGTCAGTGGGGACGAACTCAACCTGAAAAAATAGAGAAGCGTGCGAGGTGTGTCTGTCTGTGCAAAAACGCGGGGGTTCATGGTTGCCAGATGCTACAACAATTCCTCCCGCTATACCCCGCTGTTCGCGTAAACGATAACTCGTGGGGTGTCTTCTCTCTCTCGCAAGTTGACCACGTGCCGTACTCTCTACCAGCAGTTTACTTGCTTGAAAATCCAGCCATAAAATCCGAAAGTATCGTTTGGACGTGACACCCTATACTGCCTGTGGTGGTGCTTTCACTGACTTCCCAAGCGCATTGACTGTTTTAGCCGTCCGAACGTAATCTCGTCGATGAATAGACGCTTTACGTATGTGAGTATGTTGAGAAGCACGATGACAACTACACCACTAGTCAGCGCTGACTAGTGACGATGCATTAGTCAGCGCTGACTATCGTGCATTAGTCAGCGCTGACTAGTGGTGTAGTAGTGGTCATCGTGCTTCTCAACAAAAGCTAATGTCCAGGGTTCGAATCTCCCCTTAAGCATAAATTTCTTTGCGCCTGAATTGTATGAGGAAGTAAAATCCTGGGAAAATAGGCTTCGCAACACGCCGATGACCCTCTTGTACCGATAGCGATTTCTGGGCAAGACAGCGCTGATCACAGGGATGGCAACCCTGGGGGGACGTGTTCGTGGCTGCAAGCCAGACCGGACACGGGCGTTAACTTTTGTTGAGAAGCATGATGACCACTACACCACTAGTCAGCGCTGACTAGTGGTGTAGTGATCATCGTGCTTCTCAACAGAGTACCTCCCTTGCGTTCATATTAACGCAGAAATATGGACAAGAGCAACCGTATCCTTCAGTTTCGTTGATTGTTATTGTCGCTACTCTATGGTCGTCCTTGGTGATGCCCGGTTTGGTCTGTACAAGTTCTTGGTGAACTACATACATACACCATCGAACCTGGACGTTAACCCGCTGGTCTTTGTGCAGAGAGCCGCCTTTGGGCGTCATCTTGAACTTCACTTCATCCCGCGGGTCTCCGAATAGCCGCTTGAAGTCCCACTCCGCTATGACCGGCGATATGTTGTGAACCTGTTGGGTCGATCGTTTCGTTATCCCCGCACCAGTATCACGGTCGAGTTAGGTCCCCAATCCAGTAGGAGCCCACACAACAGAAGACGCAAAGTACACCCACTGCTGCAGTCCCGAGTGATAACACTTCGTTCTACTTGAAAGTGCCATCAACATGTTTTTCTCGCAAGGTGCTTCGACTAGGGATAAACACTACTGGCAGGTAACGGCGACAACAACACCGTGTAAATGAACATGATCAGCCATTAAAGCGAGCATGGGCCAAACCTGGATGTACTTAGTCTTGCTCTGGCCAACGAGAACGCTGTCAAAGTCGAGCTCCTCGTGGGACAGCTCCGCCTCGGGCGAAGTTACGTTAGCCCTAAGGACTACCACCGTCTGGGGGCCGTTCTTGAGCGTGATCGGCAACTCCAGGGATCGAATTCCGTGCGGAAACCCCTTTCTGCTCGCCGTTTCGTATATAGGGACGCGAAGTTGTTGGACAAGAAGCAAGTGGCGACACTGAATGTGAGTCACATCGTTAGGCACGTGGATGAAACAAGGGCGGGGCGCGGTAACCGCCTTGGTTTCGTGTTGCGAGACAAGGTAGTTGACTTATGCTTAAAGCGACTGGTACATGATAGCAGCGTACATAGACAACGACGACCGACAACAACAACAACAACAACAACAACAACAACAACAACAACAACAGAGCAGAATTACTACGATGAAAAGCCTGATTACCAACCTGGTTTGGACCCAAAAACATATAGCAGCAATACTTCGCCAATCAACAAATATAAATCAAGAATTTTAGTAGCAGAATGCAAACAAGAAACTAACGAAACGTGGAATGCCGCAAGGCGAACCGCGGTGGCTTGAAACGGAAACAGAGAGCTCGGTTATCCAGAGACCTCTCTATCATGGGGCGAAACAATTGAACGACTTCAGAGATGGCCGGGGTAGAACTTTATCCCCGTTTCACCTACAAAATCACAAATGTAAATGACCTAGACTATCAAGAGCCGGTTCAGAACCAACCAATATCATGTTGCTGGAGCAATCGAAAGGCATGCGAAAACGTCAAAGCAACAAACGAACAATGATCACCTGGCTTGGAACGACGCCGAGAACGCGGCGCTGGCGCCCTCGGGTAGCCTGACAACCTTCTCCGGCTCGATGGAGTACCCGGACCCGGCGAGGGAGTTCTTGTTGAACGACCACGACACGGGTCCGAGCTTGCCGGTGTTGGCCACCCGAAACGCCTTGGTCTTGGTGAAACCCACCACGACGTTGCCGAAGTCGGCCACGTGACGGGCGACCGTGTAGGAACCGGCGGAGTCCTTCGAACCGACAGACTGGCCGCCCCCACCGCCGGCAACAACACCGCCGCCACCGCCACCGCCGCCGCCGCCAGGAGCCCTGGATTTGACGGAGGGGCTCCCGGATTTCTGAGCGCTGCGTGCACCACCACCGGCTCTGCTCACGCGCCGGCTGCCTGCAGACGTTCCGCTCTGCCGACCCTCAGCGACAGAGTCGCCGCCGCTGCGGTTGCTCCGGGAAGCCCCAGCCGCGGCGTTGTTCCCTCTCTTGCTTCCCGCGCTCCCGCCTCCTGCTCCGCTGTTGGGGGTGTTGTAAGAGGCTGTCGTCTTCTCGGCGACGCTGTTGGCCTCGTTGATCGCGTCTGCCATCGCCGAGTACTCTTCTATCTCCGCTTCCGCCTGGTGGGTCCGTTTCGGGTATGCAGATGTGTTATTGTTTCATCTCCTTGGTCTCATAAGTGGGTGTTGGAAAGTGATACAGAAGGAACACGCCGTGATTTATTCACGCCCGTTTTGAGCCGAGAGAGCATGAGCTTTTGCGGATAAATGCTGCTGTTTCGGCATCGAGACCTGTGGCCAAAGGGGTTAGCCAAACATTCTTCTGACATACAACCCTTTCTCTTCCGCTAGAATGCAAGATGGCATGCGCGCTGACGCCATGCCTTTTACTCGCCTTCCACCTTCGCGTCCCAAGAACACCGTCGATTTGTCCACTTCCATGTCGAAATTGGTCCGACTTTTTTTACTCCGTACATGCACATCGTACCTCTGCTTGACACAAACCCTCCTTCAAAGAAGATCGCTGTACCACGCAAGGCATTCCAAATCATAAAAAGGTGTCCAACAAACGAGGGCACACACCTGAAGGTGGAGAACATATGCCAAGCGGTTGGCCTCCATCTCCGTATCGAAGTGGCTCGGGCCACCACTACCTCCACCAGCACTAGCACCAGCGCTGCCCGTCTTACCCCCAGCAGCCCCCCGTCCCGCTCTCCTACTGCCCGCCTCCGGGGATGGCACGGACAAATGTCCTTCCGCGTTTTCTCTTTCAGCTAGCGGTGTGGCTCCGTGAGCCGACACCGCCGTGCCCCCGATAGTGCTGCTCTTCCCGCCGCCTCTGGACGATGCGGCCGTTCCCGGCGCGGCCGTCGAAGCCGTGGCGGAGCGGTTGTAGCCTGCCCCCCCTGTCGCTTCGCTCTGTACGGTGGGAGGGGCCAGCAGCCCGTGGGAAGAGGAGGAGGAACTGCTGTTAGGTTGAGAGTGACGGTTGTTGTGGTTTCCTCCGGGTGCCGTCGTTGGCGTCGTGTTCCCGGCGAGGAGGCCGATGCTGGTGGAGGCGTTAGGAGGGGGGGGCAGGTTTCCCTCTTCCGGGGGGGTGAGCAGAGGGTCGGCGTTGACAAGGCCTTGCCTCGCGTCGCCGAGGAGTGTGGTCCACGTCGCCTGCAGACGAGAAAAACGATTGGTTTTCGGGTGTGAGTAAGGGCACGCAACACACAAAGTTGACGTTGTAACCCGTCGACCGTACGAAGTCGCGAACATGCATATTTTCGGTCGCCGGTGAAGGGGAGGGGCCAAAGCACTAGCAATAGACTCGCTGCTACACACCCGGTGGGTGTTTATGATAGAAGTGTGTTTGTCTCTGTAGAGTACTCTTCTTTCCAGAATATCGAACGAGAAACATGTTCGTGGCTGTAGGAGCGGCTGCCATGCAACACCAACGTGCGCATGCTGGGTGGGTGGGTGCGTGGCAACAGTAGCGCTTGAAGCAGTATCGGCTGGTAGTAACATCTACGCTACACTTTCAACCCATCACCTGCCCAGGTTCGTCCGTAAGCGGCTGACCCCACGGAGTGACGCTCGTGTCCCGCGGCAGCGAAACAGCCACCGCTGCGTAAACTCCTTCCCCGTACACAGGGACCTCCACGGGGTCAAAGTGACCGGCCTCGATCACGATGATTTCTCTCATCTTTTCCGGCAATCCCGGCCGGAAGCGAACCTTTGGGCAGACGGCACGCGAGTGCAAAGTGCAGCGGAAAGGAGCGGTGGTGACTAACTATGCGGTGAAACATATCTGAGTCTTGCTTGCAAAACTTTCGGACAGCCAAGAAGCCGAGCGGGGCAGCGAAAAGCGGGAGGTTTATTCCCTGTGGCGACCTCCTCTCCTTCGTGCCATGACAACATCCATCCCGGGATCCATCAGATTCCTTCCGCCGATCATTCTTCTCTACCAAGGGGCACGTCCTGATTCTCGTTTTCCCCAAGAATTGTACCTCGGTGCCGTCAGTCAACCATGCTACCCCATCGCATACTCTACTGGTGCTGAACCTGTAGCAAGCCACAACGAAAGTCGAATCCATCTTGTCAGAGCCTGTGCGGAATGCAGAGATGCTGTAAGGACGGGCATGAGCAACACCCCACCTCGCCCGCTCCCCCCATACCCCCTCTGCACACGCCACCCCGGCCACTCCTTCCTCACCATGATCCTAGCTTTATTTGAGTCCTTTTTCTTTTCTTCCCCAGCGTGCACAATACCCGTCGCGGGGTGCACTTCCAGCACTTTTGGCCTGGGCAGTCGGTCGAGCAGCATGAGGGAGGAGGGATAGATCAGATCGGGGTTTGGATACGAGCTAAAGCTAGGATAGACTGAAGATGCCGTGGTATCTTTTCCTCGGTTTTTCCCAGCAGGGGATGAACCTTCTGAACACATAAGGAGCACTCGCCACAATCGCCAATCTGTGCTATACACGCGTCTCCAGAATCTCTCGGCGAAGAGTTTGACAAATCATGAGGTGGTTCGGTATTGCCGCCCTTTCTGCGCACGTTCGAAGAAGTAACAACAATATGTTGAACAAGCTTGATCCCGTTCCTCCAGGGGGGGGCAAGAAAAGTGGTTTGTGCTAGCGCTAGAGCTGGGACTCTACTAAACAGACCGAACGGCAGGCCGAGGGTCACATCCGGTCTCGTATTGGCACTAAAGGTGGGACAAGGGTAAGTAATCCTCACCTTGTCAGCTGGTCGAGCAGCACCCGGAACGGGAACGCGACCCTCCCCGTGTTGATGATGAACAGCTCCCGCTCCTCGCATCCGCTGTACAGCACCCGGCCGAAGTCGAGGTGGGCCTTGTCCAGCCGGAACCCGACGTTGCTGGCCTCACCCACCAGGTCGACCGTGTAGGCCGGGCCGCCGGTGACGTCGCAGGCACACTTGCCGAGCGCCTTCCTGTTGGCGTGGCCGTAGTAAACGAACTCTACCTGAATGGAGGGGACCACCGGGTAGAGGGAGAGACGTTTTTGGTGCCAAGACTCCCTCTGTTGAAGCAAGGTTTTGACAACGATTAATATCGTGTGGAACGCGAGAAGGAACACCTGCTGTCCCTCTTGGCCGCGGTGCGAAGTCCGTCACCGTCGTCGTCGTCGTCGTGCGAGCCGCACACCGAGTAGGAGAGCGACAAGGTGTCACACTTTGCTGTCACTATTGTATCCCATAGATGGATAGAGGGTCAATATGACGTGTCCAACAGATATCATCAGTCGAAGGCACTTGGCATCGCGCTATCGAAGCCGCCAAGTTGACCATGGAGGGTCCCACGTTGCAGCCGATAGATCCCAAAACCCATGTCTGGAGGACATCGTGACCACTTTTCGTTTGGGGTTGAATTTTGGCTCAGGTTTAGGAGTCTGCTAGCTTCAGGTTTAGGAGTCTACTAGCTTTCCTTTTCACTAGAATAGGGTAGAGAGACAAGTAGACATGCAGGAGCAAGCTGTGACCTGATACCACCCAATAATAACCCAACAATAACTAGTGTTGTTTCGTGGTCCTCTTCGTTCCCCCTCTTGTCCCTCTCACCTCTTCCGACTCTCCCGGCCGCAAAAACGAGCGGATCGGCAGGATGTCGAAGATCTGGTTCACGGGGATGTAGGGCCGCCGGGCCGTCGCGCTCTGCCGGCCTTCGTCGACGTCCTCGAGGAAGGACCAGCTGAAGGTGCAGTCAACCACGGAGTTGTTTGTGACCCGGACGGCTTTTGTCATGGTCGTGTCGTTCAGGACACACCCGAAGCTCACCTGCAAGTTGTGTGGAGAACATCAAAATGTCGCGAACATTCGGACTCGGAAAGTTTCGTTTTTTCCAACGCCAAATAACTAGTTGTTCGCGTTTTGAGGGTTTCGGGAAGGTTGGAAGTTCGGGCGCGAGAGCCAACAGAAGCAAAATTAAGGAGCTGAATTTGAGTTGCTGTACTGTTCGGTGGTCCCTCGTCTTGTTGATAGATGTACCTAGACGTGGATTGTCAAGATAAGCCAACGGCTGACCAACACCAACGATGGTAGCCACAGCAATACTACCACCGCCATCACCACCACCACCACCACCACCACCACAACAACAACAACAACCACAACAAGATGATGCAGCCAGTAATTCCAGATCGCTCTCTTCCTTCGCCAGCGTGCACCTTCAGAGTCAACGCCCCACGGAAACGAAATACTTCAACTCAGCCCACCTTGGTGTACTCAAAATCCAGGTTGGGGTAAGCCACCGCCCCGACTACGAGCAGCCCGTCCTTTTGGGGGTGATCACGGTAGGTGACCGATAACTTCGACTCGTACCGGTAGCTCTGGCTGTCACCGCGATACCTGCTTGTTGGAGAAAGGAACGAAAAGTTTGTCCCAATAGCGAAATACGTATTTGATGTCATACTGCCAAGAGTATTTGGGGATGTGCAGGCCAATATGAACGCATTCGATCACTCTGAGGGCCCCGTAAATCTCAGCAAAGGGGCCAATGTACAAACCATTGTCCTCGTAGCACTAGATAAACCATCTCTGGGCCCTTAGGTGATGGTGTTGAAGGGAAGTGTCTCACGGTGCTCGGTTTATTATTAGTCTTCCAAGAGCTGTTCCCTGTCAACACGATGGTAGGTGAACAACTTAGGGAATCGAGCAGCGCAACGAGAATACATTTTTCGACACATTCACCCATACTACCTGCATCACGTTAGGTGTCAAGGTTTTCACCTCTCACAAGCGTACTTCACTTCTCCTGGTGTGTTTTTTTTTCTACCTGGCATATGATGAGCTACGAATTGAGACGCATAGCTAGATAGGCAACAACAACGACAACTCAAATACCATCGCCTTACCAAAACAACGAAAGAGATCACAAAGACTTACCCCGGATCAAACCCAACGGTCAGCTTCCCCGTCTCCCCGACCCCGAGCGAGTGCTCCACGGCATCGACGCTGAAAGGGGGGTGAGTCCGCACGGAAAAGTCCAGCGGCAGCCGCCCGGTGTTGGTCATCTCGAGCTCCTCGAAGGACGGGGTCATGGGCACCTCCGGCTCCCACACGTGGCTGAAGTGGAACTCCGGCCGGCTGAAGCACAGCAGGGGGGCCACGAACTCGGCGGTCGCCTCCGTCTTGAACACCTGGCGCGTGTGCTTCTCCTTGCCTACTCTGGCCTCGCAGTAGAGGCTCTCGGACGCGCGCCCGATGGCCGGGCTCGTGCCCCGGAACGTGAACGTGATCGCGGTGCGCGGGCGCAGCTCGATCTCCTGCGGGGTGACGGTGAAAGCCGCCTGCGGCGTCATCTCCGCGCGCTTCGAGCCCCGGCTACTACCGCCGCCGCCGCCGCCGTTAGCCTGCAGGGCGGCGTCCTTCTTCTGCTGCGCCTTTAGCCTTGCCGCGGCGATCATCTGCTTGTCCTTGACGGTGCTATTTACCCACTTGAGAGCCTGTTGTCTTCGCCCTTTGTTCTCCAGCGTGATGCGCCGGACGCAGGTGCTGTTTTTTTGTTACACGCACGAGGGGTTGTTTTTGTGTGGAGGGGGGCTGCGTAAGTCATTGCCAATGAAAGTCATGGCCGAAAGCGATGAAAAACCATGAAAACAGAATCATACTTAGAGGAGAGTGGAGCAAGGTGTCCTCCGACGTCAAAGGCATGCTTCTGGGAGTCATAAGGAGGTGTACGGGTAGACTGTCTTCTGTTTCCCGGTTTCTCGACAACTACAGACGCGACAGCAGTTTAGCACCTTAATAATGAAAGCGAAACGATTACTTTTTTTTTCATGTATGAAGTTCTGAAACGACACTAAGCGCATCATGCGGTACTTGCTATCCATCTTGTGAGCCACATTCAATGCTACTGTAGGTCTTCCATTGCTCCCTCGGTCCCAAGCACGTGTGACTCTTGGTAACTGTGCATTTGGAAACAACACAACTATCATCAAACTAGTGCAACAGCTACAGCAGCATCAGCACCGTAGTCGGCATCAACAACACCATCAACGACAACAACACCACCACAACAACATCAACATCCAGTAAATACTAACAGCAACACCAAGGCTTTGGAACGCGCGTCCTGTGAAACTAAACCCAGAAGCAACCCACGGACCTGTTCGTGAACACCGGGCCAAAGTCTACGACGGAGATGTCTTCGGCACACCACACGGTGGGACCCGTGCCTCTTGCCGAAAGAGGGATGAGGAGGTTGTCTCCCTCGGTGACGATAACGTGGATCTCGTCCTTGTGGCTTATTGTGTCGTCCAGATTCGCGGTGATGGTCAACGCGACCTCCTGCCAAAGGGAGCCCCCCCCGCCCAGCGAAACCACGACGATAGCACAAATAGAGAAGTTTGTTTATTGATCAGACCGAAGAAGCTGACATTTATTTGTAGAGAGTAAACCTTTATTGCGATTCGGAAGAATTATGCCTCACTGGGGTCACCTGAGAAAGATGAAACACGACGATAATACAAAATATGCGGCTTAAACGGTTTGGTGAAGGAAGTTACCGAACACCATGCGAAGGGTACACCCGTAGACTACGTAGCCACCTCTCGTACTTGCCGTGTCTTTTAAGTTTATGGAAATGGTCAACGCGACTTCCTGCCACACACGTCCGGAATGGAACGTCTGCATGCAACACCAGCCCTCTCAAGTACCACTGGACAAAAATGGTCACGTCTTCCCCGGTGGAAAAGCTCGAGAATGCTACACCAAGTACGTCCGCCCCAAGAAAGAAAGCTTACGTTATCAAACAGCCAATGCGCCTGATCACGATAGCCCCCACAACAATAGCAACAACACATCAGCAACAACAGCAACGACGACTATCCCTACCTCGGATGGAGCAAGCACCCCCTCGCGGATGTCCACCCTATACTTGGACCTTGAGCTCCTCAGGAATACCTTGAACGGGGCAGGAATCTTGCCGGGGTTGGAGAGCTGGAGTCCACGGGGTACGTCCACGAGGCACGGCGTCGGGCCCCACGCGATGGACTCCAGGTCCGGCTTAACGACCGGGCCGATGCTCGTCGCAGTGATGGTGACCTTCGTGAGTGAATGTTCACGACATGCGGGGTATCTCAGCCTCTCCGTGTATCCTCTGTGCAACTTCTTTGTGGGTGTATGCTCACGACATGCAGGAGGCCTAAACCTCTCCGTGCAGCGCTTGAGAAGTGCTACAACTTCCCCTGGTTTGAAAGAAGAAGGAACTCGACAAAGCTGCTGTGGCAGGGAAATTGTTGTGCCGCTACAATAGCGCTGCATTGCTCTCATACCTGCAGAGGAGGCTCGACGCTGCCTTTAATCTCGACTGTGACAGGAAGGCGAAAGCCTCCGAGCTTCTCGCACGTGAGCCACAGTTTCACCTCGGCTCTTCCTCCCGGGGGCACCTTTGCGATTCGTTGCCGTTGTCGTCGCTAAGTTGTTGTTGTTGTTGTTGCTTTCATACTCGTGCCTATGTCGTGCTCGCGTTATGTTGTGTTTGCGTGTTTGTGGTCTGTGTTGAGCTTGTGTTTCGTGATGTGCTTGCGTTGGGTTCACGGCCGTCTGCTTCCAGTGGCCGAAGCTATTTCTTGTACAAGAAAGGTACATGACGATGAAGACCGACACTGTCGGTGTTCCACGTACGAACGACAATTTCCACCAGTCCTGATTACTCCGGCGACTCCCCCAGTCGGTGTTAAGGCTTTGGCGTAGGGCTGCCGTCTAAGGCGGCGGAGGCTGAGAGTTAGGGTAGGGACCGAGGGCACTATCCGGGAGCTTCGTGAAGAAAAACAAAAATTGTCTACAAGGACAAAAAAATATAAAATGGTGTAATACGATGTAGGTACCTGCCCTTCCTCCGGCTCCGGCGACACCCTCGCGATCGCGTACGTCGAGGCGGCCTGCGGCACAACCCTGAACAGCCCAGTCAGCTCCTTGTTTTTGTTCACGAGGACCAGGGTTTGCGGCTCGTGGAAGCGGACGAAGCACTCCCCGAAGGCCAGGTCTTTGGACTCAAGCTCGACCGCTGGCACCTGGCAATCCGCCTTGAGGGGGATGCTGAGCAACTCCTCACCGACGCCCTCGACGTCTACGGTGATGTAGTACTCGTACACCTACAGGCATTTTGTGGGGGTAGGTGCGACAGAAATATTAGTGAGACCTAGCGACAACCGCAGGTAAAACCCGGCCTCTTAAAAGTAACAATACTGATGATATGGTAGGGAAGGACTGCGTTAAACACTCGGGCTGAGTCGTCATGGTGAGTGGGCTAGTTAATTGGCTCGTTCATCCTGTCGAATCACTTGTTTGAACGTGTCGTAGAAACAGAGGGTGGTGTCGATTCGACCCCCCCAGGATGTTATGTCGCGGTGCGCATCCCTCTTCCCCACTTGAAAATACATGCTATCTGATGGCCGGTCTGGTTGAGTTCTGTGCGAACGAGCCCCGCTTGTATCCCAACCCTAACGCTGGCCCGGAACAGTCTCAACTTGCATCTGATCGAGTCTTGGTTTTGATGCGATCAAGTTTCACGTAGTACATTGACCGCTTGCCTCATGAGCGCGAAGAGGTTAGTCGACGCCCTTACCGTGTCCCTACCCGTACCCGTAACCCTTCCCCCTGGTCCTACAACTCAGGAAAACTAAGAACACGGCCCAACACCTTGACGGTCTGGCTCATGAGCTCCACGAGGAGGTCCACGCTCTGGCCTGGCGACAGGGTTCCCCGGGAAGGCGTTATCGTCAGCTCCCGCTTCCGGAAATTTCCGTCCTGAGGCACCCTCGCGCGCCAAACCATGGAGATGTCCGAGGTGTTGGTGAGGACGATGGAGGCGCTGACGGGGCAGTCGTAGCTCACCGCCCCGAAGTCGACCTCGTCCACGTTGAAGTGGAACGTCGGGCCGATCTGACAGGTAGACAGACGGAGGACAAACAGATAGACAGACAGACAGACAGACAGACGGACAAGGCGAGGCGAAGTATTTGGTACTGTGTCCGAGCAAGCCGTACGGCGTGGATACTATTGTTCTTGAGCTACCTTACACCCATGTCTACGAAAGAAGGCGAAATAAACGAAGCCAACCCTCCGCCCCCGAAACCAATGTTGCAGAAAAGAAATAAACACCTGAGTGCCGCCCCGATTTCGAGGTGACGACCAAGTGCGTTCCATCATTTCTAGCGAAGAGAATAGAAAACTTTACGCAGTAGAAGTACTGGACAACCATCTGTGTCTGAGGGATGTCTTTAACCCCTTCGGGCAGTGAGGATTTTATTGTACCATCCACAATGAGAAGTAATTGTTGCACGAGAAGTAATTGTGAAGATAACAGGAGAACTTACCACGTGCCCTTTAAACTGGCACGGTACGGGTTCCTCGTTCCCCCTGAGGACGAACCGGAACAATTCCGAAAACTCCCCAAGGATGTCCGACTCGAACTCCATCGTTACGGTAACGCTTTTTCCCGTGAAGAAACAGAGAGAACAATCGAGGCAAATGGAAACGGTTAGACGGAAATATCTTGACCTTATAGACGGGGAGCGGGACAACACGATCCCAATAATACGCTTGGGGAACGGTTCAGATTATGACAAGAGCGCATGACATACTTGATGTGGTGTGAGCCTGGCTACGACCGGAGGGTCGCGCCACTTCGTAGGAAAGCAGAGAGTTGGGGGAGACGCCATCAATAATTTTTTGTGTGAACGAACTTGAACAGCCACAAAAACAACAACAACGATACCATGATCACCACGGCCAACGAACTTGAACAGCCACAAAAACCACAACATTAACAACAGAGGCAACGATTCTGTTCAAATCTAGAACCGCACTAACGTCCGCAACATACCTGTCCTTCACATCCAGGGTGCCCTTCATCGGGCCGAAACGGAACTTGCGCGAGAACGGCGTCTGCGGCGCCTGGAGCGTCCAATCCGCAGCGATGTCCCCGCGGTTAAGCAGCGTCACCTCGTGCACGTGCCTGCTGTTGATGAAGACATCCCCCATGTCCAGCACGTCGAAGCTCAGCACGACCTTGGGGCCGATGCCGCTCCCGCCGAGCCGCAGCGGGAGCCGCTCCTCCCTCCCGATGCAGTCGAGGAAGGCGTGCGAGCCGTACTCGGTCGTCGTGCGCGGGCGGAAGAACACGGTAACCTCGATCTCGCTCCGGGCCCAGATCTCCCCCTCTAGCGGGCGGATCTCGAAGATTTCGTCCGCGAAGAGCATCGCGTCCTTGCCCAGCGCTCGCCGGAGGTGCCGGTACTTGCGTTTGAGCGCCGCCTGGGCCGCCTGGAAGCTCGGGGGCAGCCCTACCGATGACGACGCCGTCACGGTTCCTGCCCCTTCTCCTCCACCTCCGCTGTGGCTAGCTCCCAACGCGGCCACGGTGCTTGCCGTGGCGGTGGCCCACTCCTCCTGACGGTGGTCGGTTAGCTCTAGGTTTGAGGAGATATTGGAAGAGTCGTCGAAGACACCCACCAGTGTACTTGCATTTGAACGCGGCGTTTCTAACTTTACGCAGCAACGCCTGCTGAACCACAACGCCCACTCAACTTGTCCTTTCTCTGTGGGTGCCATTCTCGCTGTGGGCCAATCACGTGTAAATTGGTGGGAGGCAACATTCCCGAAAGTCTTCCTTGAGTACCTCGCTGGGCTGACACACAAATTTCGGCGCGCTTCCCACATTTTGTGTATGCACCATATTGGGTCTGTCTTCCCACGGAACGCGCACAGCTTGTTTTGTTTTTGGGTCAAGTCTTACAGTCGAGTGTTCCGTTTGGCTACGTACAAAAAAAAACACCTGGTCGGAGTAGTCGTCGGTTTCGTCTCCGTCGGTTTGAGGTCCCTCCGCATCTTCACCGCCACCGGTGCGGCCGCTGCCACCGCCACGGGCACCGCTGGATTGCTGGCCGGCGACCGTTCCGCTCAGCAGGGCTTCCTCTTCCAGGCTTTGCATCCTGGTCATTTCAGCGTGCAGCCTGCTCCGTTCCTCCTGAAGCGGCACAATGAAGGCCGCAGTCGGAAGGGGAGGGAGTGCTGTTGTGGATTATTTGTGTCGCGTCACGTCTCTCTACCGAGAAAACACAACTTATTGCAAACCGCGAGAGACCCATATTTTCTCTCCAATATCGAAATATTACATCACTAAATACTCAAATTCAACACACGTCCATTAAATACAACGCACTTGCAGTACGCAATTGGACGCGACAGTCATCTTATTTAGTTTTGTTTTTTTCGCGAGCCTAACTGCCGCTAAAACCGACCCAACTGTATCGACCCAAGTGTATCAGGGCACTTCTGGCGACTTGGGCACTCTACCTCCTCTTCCTCGGACGTAGCGAACGCCTCCCATGAAAACTTGACGGGAATTTCACTCCTGTTAACGATCTTGAGGGTCTTCTGGCTGCACAGCCCTATATACGCCGGCTCGAGTTGAAGGTAAGGCGTGCTGAGGCAAACGTCGACCCCTCCCGCCGAGGCAGACAAGGCCACAAATGTCCTCTCCCCGCTGTCATATTCCACCACTAGCTCTCCCTCGTACCTTGAATCGCAAACAGCCGTATTCAGGACCCGGTTCAGCTTATTAGACGACACCGGTGGGTGGTAAAAGTACGCTTTCTACAGAGGCTTTCCCAAGATAGCCTGAGCGCTCTGGGTTGATGCAATTGAGCAGGTGAACCCGCCGCACAAGTTGAGCACAACATGCGTAGGTTTGACCCCCCAACTTACCCCAACCAAATCGCATTCTTACCCCCAAGTAAACGCCTACCCGTTACCCACCTCCGGTCCCGACCTCAGCACCTACCCCCTGCCCCAGCAAGCCCATATTTCCATGTCTCTAACCTGATGGACCGTTCTGGGTTGAACGCCAACTCCAGCTGAGAGCTTGTCCCAACGGGAACAACCACTTGCGCAGGGTTGATGCTGAAAGTTCCGGCGGGCTCGCAGGAGAGGGATGCGCTAGCCGTGCGGGTGCCGAGATTTCGTACCACGATGTTCTTGGTCCCGGTAGCTTTTACGGCCGTGTGAGGCATGGCGATCTTGTATTGATTTGCCGATTGGGTAGGTGTAGAGGCGGTGAGGATGAGGAGATGTTTAAGAAACCAAGAGGGTGGACAGGCTTCTGTTAGGCAGGGTGGTTGTTGAAATGTCGAGAAAGTGCCACCAAATACTCTCCCCACGGGTACCACCAGCTGTCTTACGTTGTCGTCCACAACCACTTCCCCCTTCCCTGCTTCAACGAACCGACTTTGTTCACCGCTTCATTCCTGAGTGCGATAGAGAACTCTCGACAAAGCCTCGCAAATGCACGCATGAACATACCTGGTCAGGAAAATCGAGCACGGCGCGGTGCCCCAGAGCTCCAACGGGAACGACGAACTTCTCCCTCTCCGTCACGACCATCAGCTCGACCGAGTAGGCTCGGACCTCTTGCGGCTTGAACGTCACCACGTAGCACACCTCCATGCCGGGGGCCACCTTCATCCGTACGTATAGAGTTTCTGTGAGTCTCTACACACGACGTAGTCGGGAAAACGACAGAAACACCGTACCACGCAGCGCTGCAAAACTACCGCACTGCAGCACCTTCAAAAACCAATTGACAACAGCTCCGTACTAACAGAAGTCGGTCGGGCCCTTGATCGTTGACAAGGGCTCTCTCTAACTGGCGACATCGAACGCGATAGTTAGAGGATATGAACATTCTGAACCGACATGAATGTTTTACTCGATTTCTGTGTGACAGCAGCAGCAGTTTCTGCAGTCCGTAGGTCACCACACCTTGGTTTGCTTGAGAGCCTTCAGCTTGTGGGGGCTGCGAGGACCAGACACCGAGAAGTGAGGGCTGTCCAGGGGAAGGAGCTTGAGCCGACGGTTGACCGAGTCGTTGTTCCTGAAGCACAGCACCTTCTGCTGCTGACCGAACGCCTCGTACCCCTCGAACACGACCCTCGAGGGGTGGGGCTGGAACAGTGGCTCGTCCAGCCTTACCGTGCTCGTGATGGCCGAGGTGTTGTCCTCCAAGTTCAGGAACTCCACGATGCGCGGTGTGGCGCAGGCGTCCGCTCCGAGTCCTCCGCCGCCACCGCCGCCGCGAGTGACTTCAAGGATCAGATCGGACGGCCGGATTCGCGTGTCCTGCTGGTCCTACGGTTGATACGACACGTGTCACAACAAGCCGAACATTCGGTGAATGAGCTTTGGTGTCTTCAATGAACGGACCGCAGAATGAAGTCCTACACGAACAGGAACCAGTGCAACCTTCACACAACGTATAAACTTCATGCCGCTTCCAGGCTGTTAGGCTCTCCTCAGGTGGTGTATTGCAGAGGACACGGAAATTCTCAGAAACACTTGACTTCCGGGATTCCATGTCAAGAGCAGGGAATAATCACACAACACGCCGTCAGCAGGGTCTTAAGTCCACCGACGGTGTGTTTGTGGCTGTCCAGTGCACATGTATTGTATGCATACGACGTTGGAAGCTAACTCTCGTCAGATTCGAGTGGTGACATGGTCTCTCGACCACTTCGTTCAGAAATAGGCTACAAATAAGAAGCCGTTTTTCCGAGGGCGATAAGGTGGTGCAGGAAGGTCTAGAAGTTTCTACGCTAGCAAGTAGTTGGTGCGGGCAAGGTCTCCCTGGTGTACGTACGCAGCTCTTCGTTGCCACCCATACTCTCTACTCTAACTCTGTGGTCCTCTCTTTCGGGAACGTCACAAATCGCAACGAATACAATTGTGCGTCTCTGCTTCGTTCTGACACCCTCACGAGCAAACTGCAACATGTACTTCTACGTACAGTCAGAAGTGTGGCATTGCAGAACAAGGAGTCGTGTTGCCTGACCGCTGACTGAGCGCCGAGCGGGCCTAGAGCATCTAGTCTAAGAGTATAGACGGCAAGTGCCCTGCGGCGATGATACTGTAGAACTTTGTGTACGCACGAGTGGAAGATATAAGAGCAACATAGCGGCAGCAGTAGCAGCAGTAGCAGCTTAGCAAGGGCAGCAAACGAGGTTTGTGGCTTGTAGAGAAATCCGTTCCGCCATACATAAGACTACAAGCAGTAGGGCTACCCTGTATCGTTCTTTTTCGCACCTGAAGTGCTCGACGCTTCGAAGTCGGTTTGTGGTACTTCATGCGCTCCCCTCCCGCCGACTTTTTCTTTTTAGTTTTCTCGGCCGGTCCTCCTTTCATGTCACCGCCCATCTTTGCGGTGACGTCGTGCGTTTGGATAAGACCTTCCGCGGCGTGTGGAGCTAGCAGGTCGGTCTCCTGGTTCCGAGACATGTTGCGTCTCTTTTCGTTCCTGCGTCAAAAGCTAAGTAGGGTCGCGATCTTCCCCACCGACCACGCCTCCCCGCCCTCTCTTGCTGCCTGAACGGTATCGGGCAGCCTCTGCTACGTCATTGTAGGCCCTTCTTGATTGTGGACAGGCGCCTCTCACCCCCGACCTCGCTCCTGGTTCACCCTACTGGGATCCTCGCGACCGCGCTAGCGCGCTAGTAGGATCTGCTCGAGATCGCCGGTCGATTTGCGCGCGGCGGTTTTCCATGGTGACGCCTCCCGGACCAATCGAACTCCTTCGACCCGAAGTTCCGCCGCACCGATCCTCTCACATTGACCGTTCCTGCGTTCTTGAGCACATCAACCAGATCAGATTGGCATTGACCCGGGGTGCACCTCAAGGCACGCCCCACGCACGCGTGGGAAGTAGCGACTGGCCTGTCCTCTGCTGTTTTTCAGGGCTTGCACGCTGGAGAATCTTGCCTGCAGATACCGTCTCCATTTTGGTCTTCCTCTCGTGCGGACCCACCGCCGTGCTATCCGCCGCAAACGCGGTGTCGCCTATGTTGGTTTCATCCGCGACCGGCCGCTGAGATTTCTGCCGTTGTGCCGTGTGCCGTGCCCTCTAGCGCACGTCAGCAGCGACAGCAAGGGTTAACGCCGACCGTGAAAGTCTTCACACAAGCACACAGCAGCAATGTGGCTGTGGAAGAACCTCGCCTCGGCCACAACCAATATCCTTGGCCCAGCGCCCACAACCTCCTCCTCCTCCTCTTCCTCCTCTGCTTCATGTTCCTCCTCTGATGGTTACTCGAGTGAAGACGAAGAGTCACAAGCACCGTGTTCGTCGCTGTCGCCCGCCCGCAGCATCAGGAGCAACAGCGGCCGGAAGATGCCGGCGATGAAGGGTTCCAAGCTCCCGCCCGCGCGTTCACCAAAAGCACGTCTTCCACCTGTTGCGATAGGCTCTAAGCAGCACAAGGAGAAAGATCTGGAGGGTCAGGGGCGGGAGAAGGAAGAGGAGGAAGAATCGCAACAACACGGTGAGAGGCATTACTCATGTGCACACCTAGAGATCGTTACAGGGCTTCGAGACACCCCTTCAAAGTTATTGTGTATAGTCTAGACTGCTGCTGTGTGTTGCACCCATGGATCAAACTGCTGTGTTACCACCGGCCGCACCTACCGTACGGTCTTGCCTCTCTTACCGGAGACTTCCGATGTTGGGTCTCATAGCGTGAAACCTCTGCTGTGTACTGCCGTCATTTTTTTAGTCGACTGATTGACATCAAGAGTAATTAACGAGAAAACAAAAACGAGAGAAGGCTCCAGCATTCCCAAACGTCAGATAGGTGTATACCCTAACCCTAACCAACGTCTGTTAAGTGGTTTCGAGAGCAGACGCTGTTAGATGTGTGTACCCTGTGTGTGAATATTTAAAAAGAAGGTGAAAAATGTGGCAATACCTTGCCCAGTTTCGTACCCTCAGCCCACCCATTAGATGCTGTATCGACGTTACCAACTGAAACAAACTGCTAAAAAGCGTGCTAAAGGTTTTCATTGTTTGGTATATTAGGGGTGCCATTTGAGGCCGTCAAGGCTACCGATGCGGTTGCACACTTTACATGAACTCAGCTACAAGCACGTTTGAGGTGTGCTGCGAGCGATGATGGTTTCTTTTCTCTTGTTTCTCGTGCTTCAACCCCGCAAAATGCGCAGAGCTGGCAGATACTGCTCATGTCATGCTGTATGCACCGGAGGAAAGCACTGCCTGTCGACATCGCACGCGCTGCACACGACTTGACTGATTATAACCGCTGTTTGCACATTTTTTCTACCCAGAAAAAACCACGTCCTCACTCCCGCAGCAAGGAGAGGCACACACAGAGGAGCTCGGCGTGCAGGACGCTCTTGTCCACCTCAATCAGGTACACGCACAAGAGACTGTTCGTAGTGGAATGAGGTATGGCAAAAAAAATCCAGTTTCATTTTCTCGGTACATGACAGCACGGCAAGTGCGTATGCATGTCGGCGATGCGGAGATTTTATAATCCGAGAGGCATCGTGTACCTTAACCTTGGGCGTCAGTCTGCCCACAGACCTTTTATCGGCGCAAGGCGTACACCCCCCCTCTCTCTCTCGTAATTTTGATTGATTATCCGACTATCTCGTCGCAAACACCTAGTTTCTCGGTGCTGTGTATGGGGTTCTCGTTTGGCCCCGTCAGAGTGAGCAGAGAGGCCAGTCGAGAACATCGAGAGGAGCCAATTATAAGAATAGTGTCGGACAGGCAATAGAGTCACAGGCACACCCGCGACATCTGATGCTCTATAATTAGCTCCGAAGTAAATGCGCATCCTTGGCTTGATGCTAAGGATTGAAATTGGGGTCGACTTTATACTCACACACACGCGGATAACGAGGAATCGCGCGGTCTAGAAACCGCGTTTTATGTTTTGTTCGGCTAAGGTTGGCGTAATTTCATTGGTCAGTCGGTTTGCACGCCAAAACCCAGTTCAACAATGCTAGTTTCGTACATACACACACGCACGCCTTTTGCGTTTGTTTCCAGCGGAAACATTGCCGCCTGTTCATCGGCAAGCCAGTTAACAAGGTGTACTGATTTGTGTTTTGTCATTTACGCCGCAGGTAAGCCGCGAGTTGAGAGATGCGAGGGAGATGTCCGACGAGCTCCTTGACATCATAACGAGAACCAACCCGACGACCTACCAAGAGATCCTGAACAGCACCAAAAACACCAAGCTCCGCGACATCATGAAGAAAGCTAAGGTGACGTGGCTGCTGTTGTTTCAATATCTTGTTGCTTTCGCTGTTGTTGTTGCTGCTGCTGCCGTTCTTGTTGCTGATATTGCTGTCGCTGCTAATTCTGCTACTGTGTTGCCGTTGTTGCTAGTGTTGTCGCTACTGCTGTGGTTGATGTCGTTTCAACATTGTTGCACCAAGGATATGGAGTACCTTGTTTCGGTGCTTTCCAGAGGCAATTCGCCCCCGCGAGTCCGTGCCCCCTCACTCTCAACTAGCCAAACTTGCGTCGAGTTACGGAAAATCGTTGGACACACGGCTGTGAATGAAGCGTTGATTGCAAGGCGTCCTGCGGGATATGTCACACCGTCAGCGTGCCGGCCTTTTTTTTACTCTCGACCCCAAGGTGTTCCTGGGGCCAAGCCCCCCCCCCGCTCCCCTAGCCCCGCTCTTCTCCCCTCTTCATGTCGTGGTGTCGAGAGTCCTGTTGGTGTTTTTCGATGTGCTTGAAACACACGACGTTCGTGGTGAGGCTTGTAGCCTGTAGCGGAGCACCTTCCCCTCGAAGTTAACGCCACCGTTTATCGTTCGTCTTTACGGGCTTGTTTACGACTGAAAGGTATAGAAAGCGTGCGTGTTTGGCGAACGTAAGATTGTTTTGCCGTGTCGATGTTGTGTTTTGGGCTTGTATGGCCTTCTCGTCACCACGGGTTGAAGGGTTGCTTCGAACCGACGATAGCTACGAGCTACCAACAGCAAAACCAACCACAACGGCAACAACATCAGATCGACAAAACCAGTAGGAATGACAGCAACACACCACAACGCTCCACCAATAACAGAATTACCGCGATATGATACTATTTAACAGCAACAGCAACAATCACCCCGACCGACCCGGCGTCTACCTTGCTCTGCCATCTACAGACCACGACTGGCGACACCACGCCTGAGGGGTTTCGACGCATCTCTGCCCTGATCCAGGACAACAACCAGGTCTCCTTCGACAGGTTCATTGCATCACTTTCCTGTGGAACCAAGCTAAACCTTGCCGACGTCGAGGTATTCTGTTTCGGGTTCGGGAAAAACTTTGGGAGTTTTACAGCAAGTGCCCCACGAAGATGAACTAAAGAGTAGAGGCGGGTGAAAAATGTCGCTCACCGAGAAGAGAGGGGCCCCCTTTTCCCCTTCCCCCCCCCCCCGATTCTGATTCCTTGGCCTTTCCTTGGCCTGTTCGACGGTGAACTTACGGGACCTAGCTTGCTTCCGTGAGGTGTTGAACGCGCGGGACAGTGTTACCCGTCTCCTTATTGAATCCTTCTTCTGCGTGCCCTCAACAACCTCCATCTCAAGCGACGCCTGCGGGCTTCGAGCAACGCGCCGTCCTGTTACGCAGAGTAACTACACATTCACCCCTTTTACAACCCTTCCGGCCCTGACATTGATCTATGTACCGTCCGTACGTTGTCGGACCAAGAAGTAATTACTGCTACAGCGGGGGTCCCTGTTTAGTGCCGGTATATGCCCAGAAATTCAGAGCAGGTTTGTTTAAGGCGTAGACAATGGCGTAGACAAAACAAACCGAGGTTTATTGAAACAACTCGAATTGCCATACTGTTTATATTGGGGTACCCGGAACGCTTTGCGTACTGCGGGGCCCCCTCGGTCGAGAGGAGGAGTCGCATGTGTTACCATTCTGTTCAAGCCTTGTGTACATCGCATCAGGCGATCCAAGAATCGGGATGAGGTTAACGACCCATGATCGGGATACAGAGCAGACGGCGGAGCAGTTGCTCTGGTGGTGGCGTCGTTGTCATGTTGTGCAACGTTGCCCGATGACGCGTCGTTAACATCCTGTCTTAGTTAAAGGTTGTGCAGTGGAAGTTCTGAAGTATGCCCAAGCCCGCGGAGCTTCGAGGCAAATAGTTACGAAATAGGGGCGAATCCCAGAAACTAACGCGCGCTGCACCATTTAGCTAAGAATTTGGGAATTTGCTGTATATGGCTGTTGGGGGCAACACATTGGAACGAGTATCCCGAAGGGCGGGAAGATGAAGTCAGAGGAATGTATAGGAGCCGCCCACAGTAGAGGACTCACAAGGGGTGTCCCGTTCGGTACGACATAGCGAGTCGGGAGGCAATCGGGGGAAAGCACTGTGTGCGGTAGGTAGGCAGTAACAGGAGCTAATCCCACTGCACGAGTAGTGTCATGATGACCTCGATGTTGGCGAAGAAAATGGTAGGGTACCATTTTAGGGACTTGGTCATCTGAGACTACTGTGTGCAGTAAGATTGGTTCCCTCCACCGCAGGAGAGAGCACCCTCAGTTGCTGTTTGGAGGGAAGAGAGAGAGAGTCTTTATTGGGAGAGAGGCAGAGGCACGATAGAAAGGCCGCAGAAACGTGTCTGCGGGAAACGTGCTCTCTGCCACTTTGGTATCTCTCTCTTCCCTTGGGCGGTAGAAAATACTAATAAATGCAATTCGAAAGAAAACAATAAAGGGCAGGTTTGTTTAAGGCGTAGACAATGGCGTAGACAAAACAAACCGAGGTTTATTGAAACAACTCGAATTTCCATACTGTTTCTATTGGGGTACCTGGAACGCATTGCGTACTGCGGGGCCCCCTCGGTCGAGAGGAGGAGTCGCATGTGTTACCATTCTGTTCAAGCCTAGTGTCCACAGAGTCTTAGCGTGCCAGAGAGAGAGTATCGCAGAGACTACTAGCGAGGTGGTCACATAGAAGGCTTCTAGTGGTGTGCCAGCCTCTGGAGCTGACAGGAAGTGGAGTCTTTTCCCACCCACCCACCCCTTTTCTTTCGAAGGTGGGGGAAAGGAGAGGACGGATGAAGTATCCGGTAGAACTTATAGCTGTATGTATGTGAGGCGAAGAAAATGGTAGGGTACCATTTTAGGGACTTGGTCATCTGAGACTACTGTGTGCAGTAAGATTGGTTCCCTCCACCGCAGGAGAGAGCACCCTCAGTTGCTGTTTGGAGAGAAGAGAGAGACAGTCTTTATTGGGAGAGAGGCAGAGGCACGATAGAAAGGCCGCAGAAACGTGTCTGCGGGAAACGTGCTCTCTGCCACTTTGGTATCTCTCTCTTCCCTCGGGCGGTAGAAATTATTAATAAATGCAATTCGAAAGAAAACAATAAATCGGCCCTATGCTGGACCGGCACGATTCACAGTACTGACAATGACTTGGAAATTCAGTGTTTGCCCGCCGAAAACACGGGCACTATGCCGGGCATTGGCACTATTCAACCGGCACTAAACAGGGACCCCCGCTGTACTTGATTTATGTCCTTAACCTTGGCAAACACCCCGCTTACACCCCTGTACTTCAAAGGTGTTAACCCGCGAGTGTCACCGCCAGATGGCCTCCCTCGGTGACGAGCGCGCGTCGGGGTCTTCCCTTACCGACGCCGGTGTGCAAGCTGGGGGAAGCGGTAGCGGTGGCGATGGGACGGGCGGCGCCTCGTCTGCTCCTCCTCCTTCTCTCGGTGACAACGGCAACAGCGACCACGCCGGAGAAAGGGTGCCTGACGGTGAGGGCGCGGCGACCCTGCCCGACCTCGCCCTTGTCCAGAACATGGCTGTCGCAGACGCTCTCCCGCGCTTCGTGAACGCCCTGCTGCATCAAAAAGAACAGGAGCAGCAGCAGCAGCAGCAGTCGGGCGTCCCGAAGTTTACTTTCGGGAAAGCAGGTTCGGCGCCTTCATCGCCATCTGGACGGAAAACAGTGGCTACCAGCACGGACGACGACGAGACCGGGGGGGCTGCGGCGGCGGCGGCGGCGGCGGTGGCGGCTGCAACGGTCTCGCCCGCACGCTGCGGAGAAAGCTACACGTCGGCGGTAAGACAAACCCACTTTTCGGTTGGAAAATCACAGCCAGTGAGAACACTGTTGTTGGGGTTTCCTTGCCAGGTTCCATCGCAGTGCCAGCGGCACGAACAGCTGGCAAGCACGTTCTTGTTCTAGCTGCTGTTGCTGCTGTGGATGATTATGTCGTGTTGAAAGTTGAAATGCACTCAGCGTTATCGGGTGAGACGCTTTCCACTTGCGTTTTCAACTACTGGTATTTCGCATGTAACGTGCCTGTCGACATCGCCAAGATGCCCCCCAGATCTGCCTTCCCTGCCTTCCTTTCGACAAAGAAAGGCGACGTTTTCTCTTTACGAAACCTCTTCCTGTGCTGTCTACCTAACGGAAGAGTCTGTAAACACCCGCAAGATGTTCAAAAGAGGAAATATACGCGATGCAACTATGGTAACCTTGTTCGGTTCCCCACCCTAGGCCTCCTCGCTTGCACGATTACAAAAACAAATAGAGAGTAAGAAAGGTACTGCTAGACCGCTTACGGCTGTTGATCTTAGTGGCGAAGACTCACTCTCGGTACACAACTAAACTTCTCAGTGAGTGGCGACACCACACCATGTATCGGCGTTCGCGTGCGTGAGGTTTTCGGCGATACTGGAGTGTTGGTACAGCTACCACACCGGGTGGGTGGAATGGAGTCAAAGAGGCTAAGGTGCATGCACGCAACCCGCTGTCTCCGGCAAACACCCCTACATCTGGTGGAATCACAGGGGAAATAATCGATTATCCTCTTTGTTGTAGTGGGAGCGAGGAACAGAATTAAAAAAAACAATTCCCCGCCGAGTTCCGTCTATATGCTTGGTCGGAGCGCGAATTCCAAGAATAAGGTAGGACTTAAAGCCATTTTTTAATCCTCGCAAGGCTGAGGGGTGAGGAAAAATCACCGCCCACCGACGTGCGGCTGGGGTTTGCGTTGCAGCGTCGTGGCGGTGGCGGTGGCGGTGGCGGTGGCGGCGGTGTCAAGGCAATCCCTAACCCCGACGGCGGAGGAAACTTCCGGGAGAGTTCTGGGCCGGGTCCTCAAGGACCCCGCTGCCCGGCGTGCGAGGAGGAGGACGCCGCCGTCCAGAGGGGTGCTCTCGAAGGGTGCCAGGTGAGCAAGCAGGCATAGAAGGATGTGGCATGTCGCCTTTGCATGGTGCAGTGCTCCTTCGCACCGACAAGGAATCATTTTCGCGTTGTGGTGCGATACAATTGTGGCCAACCAGAAAAGTGGGGGCACATTTTCTCTCTCTCTACACTCTGCTGCGTATTAATAGTCGTAAGCTACACACAACTTACCGGATCGAACTGAATCTCACAACAGTAGCCCATATTCTAGTAGTGCACGTTGTCGTGCGGGACGTGTTTGCGCTACATGTACCATGACATCCAACTTTTTGAGGAGTCAGCGCTTCCTGTTTTCTGTGCCCCTTGAGCGAAAAAGTTAGTCGACACCCAAGGCGTCCTGATGTCTAGGTGGGTGCGTGGGAAGAGTGTGATGCTGTGACGCAAGTCCTCGTCACGGCCGGTGCCTCTTTCTTACCCTACCCCTCCCATGCCTACGAAAACAACATTTTTCTCGGAGAGAAACGGGAGGAGGGGTATGAGAGGACCCAGTCTCTTATGTACTCGTGCAATTGACGGTGTTCGGAAGGATGACCCTACCCCTCCCATGCCTACGAAAACAACATTTTTCTCGGAGAGAAACGGGAGGAGGGGTATGAGAGGACCCAGTCTCTTATGTACTCGTGCAATTGACGGTGTTCGGAAGGGTGACGCCGATGACCCTCCTGCCCATCCTCCAAGCTTCCCTCCACCACCTCGGCGTGCCCGTTATCACCCTGCTGCTCATTACTGCCGAAACACCGCTAGCTGCAGCGTTAAATCCGTGACCCCCCCCCCGCCGCCGCCCTCATTCGACTTTTTCTTCGTCAACTAGGCGGCATGTTCCACGCCTCCCCTCCACTAGCCTTACTCTTTCCTTGTGGGCACCATGTGTATAGTAAGTCCCTCGCTCGCTCGCCCGAGTGCTTCCCTGCACTAAATATGATTTGTTTATCTCTCTCGCTCGCCCCGTTTCTGCCCCCTTCACGAACCACCCTTGTTGTATGAACGCCACAGAAGTGCCGGCCGGTGTGGATTACCCCCGAAGAATACGACAGGGATTCCTTGGTGGAGATGGAGCGGGCTAACGCCAGGACGCTGCCCAATTTTACCGCTATCGTCACGGAGGAAGAGTTTCGACGGCAGCAGCAGCAGCAGCAGCAGCAGCAGCAGCAGCAGCGGTGCTACTGCGACTACCACCACAAGATGTTGGACCAAATCCTGCGAAATGTAGAGCTCGAGAATGAGGGCGAAGGGGAGGGGGGGACGGTGGTGGGCTCAGGAGACGAAGAAGGCCAGGAGAAGAACAAGGGGCAGCAGTACGAGGAGGAGGAGCGACCGGCGGCGCTACGGGAGATGGAGACCCAGGTGCCTCTTCTGTGGTCGTTGGCATGGTCTGTATATCATGTTTCTCCCACCCAGTCGGGACAACGCGTCGTGAAGTTGGGAGTGCGGTCTGTTGTGTTCTTTTGCTTCTAAAGGCGAAGGGCGATTGGTTCGAATTATGTGCAGATCCGAGTGTATCGCGGCTCACAGCCTGCTGGCGTTTCGTGACCGGGGTCGCGCAGGCCTCTCTGGTTGGTTCTGTTCTTGAACGAAATTCCGCGACAAAACTCCGTCATCCTCTGTCGTCGTCAGGTTCGGAAGTCGCTGAATGTGCTATGGATGTCTGAGGGGTGGGATGGCGTGACCAGGCGGCGGGAGTCAGCGACGGCGGGCCCTCTCGCGGAGGCGTCCCGAGCCACTACTCTCGGCGAGACAAACGCCGCCGTGGCAGCAGACAGGGATCCGACTCCTCCCACTGACATAGTAATCAGGTGATCAGGGGGGTTAGCAGGCCTGATTCTTTGCGGATGGAAAAATGAAGAGCTTGGCGGGGCGTGCGTGATTTTCGCGCCGTGTTGTTCACGGAGGAACGCCAAGATGACCGCTACAACTCACCTACGCTCTGTGTCTAATCCCTACCCGTCTTTTGCACCCCCGTCCCTCACCCTCTGCTCCGTGTCTTCGGACTGTTTCGACCGCCCAACAACCACGCAGGCCGAATCCGAACTTGTGCGTAACGACCTTGACGCCAAGCGTAGTCCCCCCTTGCGAACCCGCCTCCACCGCCACGGCGGCCACACCCACTACGCAAGAACTGAGGAGTCTCGCGCACGCCCAAGAATGGTCCTCGAAACGGTTCTCAGAATGGTCGCCGATCCGGCGGTCCCGCGAGCGGTCCAAGAAGCGGTGGTCTCCGAAGCGGCGGTCTTCGCCGCCGCTGCTGCTCCTGCCCGAATCGTCGTCGGCAGCGTCGGGCGGTGAGCGGCCGCCGGCGGGCAGCAAGTCGCCGTCCTCTGCGACCATCGCAGCGTTTCGCTCGACGAGCACGGAGGACGGGGCTCGAGCGGTCGCGTTCTCGGCGTTTCTTTGGAGCCACGGTTACCGCGGCGAGAGCGGCACGGGGTCGGCGGTGGTTACGGAGGCGTCGTTTCCCGGCGGCGCGCTGCGGCAGTTCGAACACACGCTCGACTTCTTGAACTCAACCCCCGCGATGGGCCTAGGAAGAGAAGCGCCTTCGGGGGGAACTCCCACGCCGTCGTCCATCTGCTGGAGGTACGCGAAGACCATTGCCCTGCAGCGGCACCGGCAGGAGCAGCAGCGGCGGCGCCGAGCTCAGCGGCAGCGGCAGCAGCAGCAGCAAGGGCGGCAGCTTGAGGACGAGGCTAAGACGCGGCAGCGGCAGGCGATGAAGGAGGCTAAGTTTTCGAGGCAGCGGTGGCAGCAGCAGCAGAATCTGTGGTGGCAGCAGCAGCAGCAGCAGCAGCAGCAGGAGCAGCATGCGAAGCAGCGGGAGCAGCAGCAGCAGCAGCAGCTTGCGAAGCAGCAGCAGCAGCAGCAGCAGCGGACAGAACCGATTTCGAAGCAGGTGGGGCCCACGGTGCGTCACAAGAGCACGGATCAGGTGGAGACGGAGCAGCAGCAGCAGCAGCAGCAGCAGCAGCAGCAGCAGCAGCAGCGGACAGAACTGATTTCGAAGCAGGTGGGGCCCACGGTGCGTCACAAGAGCACGGATCAGGTGGAGACGGAGCGCCGGGAGCGTGCCTCACCCCAAACCCAACCGAAGGGAGAGTCCCCGTCCCCGGACAAGGAGGACGACCGCGGGTTCTTGCCGCCGCCCCCGTTGTTCAATTTTACGCGACGGCTACAGAAGGAGCGACCGCTGCCGCAACAGCCGGAGAAAGACGGTGGGAAGCACGACCTGGTGGTGCTACCGCCACCGCCGCCGTCATCACCGGTGTCGCCCTCACCGCCACTTCACGGCGCCGCCTCGCAACACCAGCAGCAGCGAACGGCGCAATCAGGCAGCACCGGGAACGCTTCAGCCCTCGCACCGCCCGCCGCCGCCGGCAATGCCGCCACGGCACCAGTAGCACAGCAGCAGAAGGCGAGGAGAGAGAGAGTGGATCTTTCTCGCGGTGTTCTTGGTGATTGACTAGTACCTCTCAATTCGCCCGCTATTTTCCGTTTCCTCATCCTAACATACTCTTTTTGCCCCTCCCCGTTCTCCAACACTGGCTCTCCTTTTCTTGTTCCCGCCCGCCCGTTTCTCTCTCTCGGTCGAACCTCATCTTCCCTGTTCAGGTTGTCGGTAGCGGTGCCTCGTGGCATTCATACGGCGACATGCCTGCTCGCAAGAAGATGTTTGTTCAGATCATCAAGTTCTTCCAGGAGCAGAAGCCAAGCACCTTGCCCGAATGGGTGCAGAAGGTTAAGAAGGTGGCCGTCGTCTTTCATCCTTGTATAGCAAGTTCTTTCCACTTGAAATTCTTTCGCCAGCACGACCGTGGGTAACCTTGAACGTTGCTCATTGGGTGCTATCGGGGGTCGTACTACGTAATACTCCGCCACCCACCCAAACAATGCGTCATCGTTTGAATAGGGCAATTAGAGTGGTTTCAACAAACAACGGTTTGTGTTCTCCTTCGTCTCCGACAAGGCTACCCTTGGGAAGGGTTTTTTCGTCTTCGTGGATGCTTGTGTAGGCTGCGCATCACCTTGATACGTACCCCTTCCTGGGAAGAGGAATGAACTTGGAACAACGTACACGAAAAGTTGAAAAGACGGCTCTACACTACGAGCAGACGAATAGGAACGGTGCTAGGAACGGCACTCCATTCCATTTGGCCTGTGCCAATCGACACTGTCAAGAGAAAGAAATGCGGTCGCACCAAGTGAGATTTTTGCCCTCCGTTGTGGTCACCGGTCCAGAAACTAAGGCATACGAAACATCAGTACGCCCGCCCCGTTGGACTACGGTCGACATATGATGACATGCACTCCAATTCACCCCTCTCCCCCCACATCTCGCGCGTGCCCCTTGATGTCCCCGTCAGAGGCCGTCCTTCCCGATCGCCGTGGAGGCAGTCTTATACCAACAGGCCTCGAGCTTGGGCGACTACGAGGACTACACCGCTGTCGCACCCCGTTTGAGCCGGATCATCCGCAGCATGAACAAGGAGGCAAGAGTGTCTGCAACGGCGAAGGAGATTAAATGGAGGGAAACGTTTCCTCCGTGGTAGAGAGCGGGGGGAGGATATAGACGACGAGAGAGAGAGAGAGAGAGAGAGAAAGACAGACGAATAAGACAAACAGGCAGTACTAAATTGACTGAAAGCGCACACAGGGATAGACAGCGGCACGCTGCTGCGGCGGCTTTGGTCTGCTAGCGGACCGCTTGGAGAACAAGCCGTGCGGAGCGCCTAGAACCTAGAATCCAGCCCTCCGTCAACGGTTCAACTGCGACCATCATCGTTTTTTTCCTCTCTTCACCGCCTTCCCCCTGTGGTCCTGACCTCGACCCTCGACAACCAGGTATTGGATGCAATGGCCAAGGCGGACCGGACGGTGCACAGCAACGGGGGTAAGGACAAACAACAGGCACACAATTGTCAAGCGACCCTCCCTGCCGTCCCCGAGCGAGGCGTTCTGCCCATGAAGGAGGCGGGAAAACCCCCGAAGGCCCAGCAAGCAGTCAGAGCCGCGCAGACCCCCGAAGAAAAGGCAACCGTGGCGGCGAAGGCAATGGGTGAGGCGGCGGCGGCGGCCCCAGCATATGCCGCAGCAGCAGCACAGGCGGTGGCTGCGGTTGGTTCAAGCAAGGACGAGGAGGGAGCGAGAAAACCCATGTCTCGCGCCGAGCGTAGGGCTGCCGAGCGCGAGCGTGTCAAGGGAGCCGCGAAGGCCGCCAAGTCCGCGCGGCTGCAGCAGCACCTCGCCCAGCAGAACCTGCGCAAGAGCAACGATCCCAGGCGCGTGGAAGGGCAGCTCTTGGCCGCCGCGGATAACCCGCCCGCGGGTGCTCAGCCTGTCCCACCCCCGGACACGAAGCCAGGCGAAAAAACCGAGACCAAGCCGGGAGGGAAGACAGCGCAGAAAGTTGCTCCTGGCGGAGGTGGTGACAATGGTGGTGCTGCTGGTGCTGCTGGTGCTGCTGGTGCTGTCGTCAACGATACTGCGGCCCTGGGCGGCAACAGAACGGCGGCGGCGCCGGGGGCAAGAACGCCGCCGAAAATCGAAACGAAGGATGAAAATGAAACGAAAACCTCCTCGACGGCGGTTCATTCGCCGACGCGGACGCCGACTGGGGTGGCGGTGGCGGCAGCGGCGGCGACGGCGGCGGCGGGATCACGCACATCGATCCCCTCTGAGCCCGCCGCCGCTCCCGGCAAGGCGCAGATCGCACAATCGGCTCGGGCGGCCAAGGCCCCCGCGGTCACGGCCGCTGCCAAGCGTGAGGTTAGCCAGGCGCCTGCCGAGGAGCGGGGCAACCGCGCCGCTGCCCGCGCCCCCGCCGCCGTTCTCGAGGAAACCGTCACAGAGACGAGCTCCTCCCGCTCATCTCCCGGCGGCGAATGGACGTGGCCGCTCCTTGCTCTCGATGGCGGCGGCGGTGCCCTTAAGGGGAAGAGGACGGCGACGGCTCCGCTTCGCGGCTTGGCGTGGATAGGGCGCGCAGCCGGCCCCACCGCGGGAAATAGGGCGGAGCCCCTTCCGTGGGGCAACTGGAAGAGGTGGCGGGAACCCGAGAAGTGGGAGAAGACGGTGTCTGCGGCAATCACCAGGTAGGAACACGGGAGGGTTGGGGGTGTAAAACAGATCATTGTTGTGCCCGGCAAGGCGAGCAGGGAGCGGGTCCAGCTGCTGCTTTGGTCGTTGTTGTCGTTGGAGAATGGCCGGGTACGCTTGTCACGGTCTCCACGACGAATTGCGATGCCAATGGAACAACTCGGCAGACAGTGGGGGGGTCGGCGGCTGGGAAGAAGCACTGGTTGTTGCGGGCTCGTTGAACAGCAGAGGAGTCGAATCGGGCCAATCCAACTGAAGCGACTCGATCGAATAGAAGTTGGTCAAATATTTTCTCATGATCCGTTTTCCTTCCTCCCACCCCTCCTCACCGTGTCTGTCCCCCTTCCACCGCTACCGTGTGGTCTACCCCGCGCGTTCCACCCACCTCGCGTGCCGGCCTTCTCGAGAAGATACCCCGACGTTGAGTACGGCGGAAAGCTGTGAACAGCTAAAACCGACCAGAGTTGCGGCATGCATACGCGCCATGTCCCACGCCGCAACGAGAGGGCGCAGGTGAAGGTCGGATTCGACGTGGACACCGGCCGTCTCAGGAACGAGAGCGTACGATCCGATATTTTGTCTGAGCGGCTGCGCTCTAGATATAGACGATACTGGTTCGCGTGGTTGGATTACTAGAGATGATCGGGTTCGGATGTGTGGAGTACCGATATATTCAGCGGTCGGCCTAGGGAGAACAAAAGAAAAATGAAATGGGACGAAGGGGGGGAGGGTGACAACGAGTTGTGTGTGCTATAATTTCGACACCAACAATCAAGCGGTAGGCATACGTCCGCGACGTGGCCGCTGAGTGTTGTGTGCGGGAGCAGGGAGGAACGGAGCGGCGATTCGGGCTTGGTCTGGAGCCACCGCGTCCAGACGGATGGGTGCTGCGTTGTTGTGAGGTGTTGTCGATGGGTTTGTTTGGGAGTCGGCTTGTGTGTGTGTCGGCGGGGGGGGGGGGAGGGGGGCGTAATAATTGTTTGTGTACACCCATCTCGGGGTAGTGTTTCTTGTCTGCTGTACTCGTGAGTGACGTAAAAACTTGTTCAGCGGGTTTGATTCAAGTTCTTGTCACGGCCTGTATGTGTGTGTGTAGAGCACGAAGCTCCGAAGGCGGACACCGCCTGTCACCACGGTAGTCTAAACGGGTGATAAATTCGATCACTATCTAACCCGCTACTTCATGCACAGACTAGCCCGGGAGTTCGAATCCATGCAAAGCGTCTCTCGCACTCTTTCGTACCTAGGAAGTGGCAATCGCTTGTTCGTGAGTATAGGTTAGGGTTGGACGACTGAACCCGTCTCGCGTTAGAAAACTAGGGATACACTGCACGGGAATTCTCCGGTCTGCGCGACCCCGGATCGGAGCTCTTACGTGAGAGAGAGAGAGGCAAGGCTTGAGGGTAGAGTAGAAACTACAGCCACGGCCATTCAACGACATGACAAAAAAAAAATCGAAAGTCTACGTGATACGGGCGGTTGTATGTATGGTGTTGGTGAGCCCGTACAACAGGAGCGGGTGGAGGAGGTTGTGCTTTGTGTTGTTGCTCGAGCTAGAGAGAAGAAGGGTTGACTGGGGCAACAGGTGCTTGCTTGTGTGTTGCATATCTTGTATATCTCGTTGCTTGCACCACCCACCGTTCAGGGAACACGGATTGGGTGTGATTTAATGTCTCTGTCACGTGTCCTATCGGGTTACTCACAACGGGTGTTGTGCTACGTGGGGTTCCCACGAGCAACTCAAGTGATCATGAGAGTTTGTCGCACATGAGGGCCCCTTTACTACAAAATTGGTTCGGTGATGTCGCTCGTGTTATACAACACATAGATGTTGCTTCCATGGCACCCAACGACTATTTCAGACGGAACCACACGGAGAACTGCTACATATCCCTCCCGTACCTCAATATCGAAGTAGCAGTTCCAATTTGTCGATTTTCTCTTCACAAACCACAGAAAACGATCTATTGTTCAAAACCTGTCCAAAGACACGGAACGTCACGGCACCACACAACACGACACAACACGAGACGGCCTTGGAAAGGTGACTACACCACACAACCAATCAGCCCCTCCCGAAAAGAACCCAGCTGGCTCCTGGGGTACGAGTTCCAACAGGAATCGGTACTAAATACCAGAAGACAAAAAAGCATTTCTAAACAAGGCAGCAGCAGGTAGCAGCGCCCGTGAGCTGCATAAAAAAAAATTCTACGAGCCGCTCACCTTATTCCTCGCCGTCATGGCGACAGCAGCGACCGAGTACATCCATGCACAGAAAAAAACGTATCGGGGTCCGACCCCCTGTAGTCAGCGACGTCCCCCTTAAAATTTCTATATCCCGCCTTTGCAAGGATGCAAGGCCTACGTAACAACGTCAAATGGATGAGCACCCCCCTTCCGTGCCCGCCCTCTCGCCCATTCCGCGTAACCCCCCCCCCTATGCTGCTGGGGCCACCCTGCCAATGCTACTGATCGGAAGCGAAGCCTTGGGAAGCAAACAAAGCGTATGAAGCACCAACACAACACCCACAAAAGACAAGCGCTTCGAACGTGCAGCCCAATATTCTCCACCTACCATGCACCAAAGAAGTAAAGGCGAGCGAGTTTCCCGCCAGCGTTCATCCTTTTCTGATCCGTCCCTCCCACGCAAGAGGCGGACAAACGACAACGCCGCTCGTAGGCGTGGGAAACCCGTATGAAAACCCATACCCGGAGCAAATTCTCGGTAGAAATACCCCCAACAGCCCGGACGGAGGCGGCATCTATACATACACCCCGGGGTATGGGGCGTGAGCGCATCGCGACGACAGCGAAAGGGTTTACTTCCCTCAAGTACTCCTGAATCTAGGTCGCCAGGTCTGACGCTACACCGCCGTCCCAAGTCTGCTGCAAGTCGCGGCGGGATCCGCGAGCAAAGCTGTGCGCACCCGCGCTGGCAAATAGTCGCCGACGCCGCCCGTCGCTACCTACACACACACCATCCCCAGCGTAGTGCTAGACGTTCGTCTAGCCAATGCTGCTGTGAACCGATTGTTGCGCGCAGACAAGTGTACATGAACCAGGACACCCAGAACAGATACAAGGACAAAAAAACAACAATGACAGGAGCGCTCGGTGGATGCTTGCGGGACCGGAAGACTCAAGACTCCGCCCAAGACGCTGACATACATAAAATACTGCACATTCACTGATATATTTCTCAGACACCACCGCCTGGTGAGGCGCTACTTGCCGTACTGTACAATTGACGGGGCAGAAATCACGCCTACATACCGACTAACCCCTCCCCCTGGTCAATGGTCTAACAACGAAGGCATGCAAAAACGTGAGTGCGCCCCCCCTCTCCCCTATTTTCGGACACACAAACAACGACGCCCATGTTGCGCCCAGTGCTCAATGTGCACCGATTTACACTCACACGCAAACAGATCAGGTTTAACACAGCCCGGTGACGCAAGGCATCAAAACTACTGTACGCAGGTCTCATGCCTAAAAATAAACCGAGTCCCTTTCCTTGAGCTCGCCCAGCGAACCCGCAGCGTGCATCCCCTAGCGGCGTCCACTCGCCTAAGCAGCAGGAAGTCCGCCACCCGCTACGCTGGCTCTAGGCCGCCCCCGTGGTCTATCATCGACTGCACGTCGGACATCTCTAACCCCGACCCAAACCCTTCCGCTTCGTGCCCCTCCCTTCTTCTTCTCCTGCTGCTATTGCTGCTGTCGCCGTTGTTTCGGCGACCGCACGCCGAACCATCTTCGACGGCGCTCCCGTTAAGCTTGTCGTCCTCCTCTTCGGTGCACACGGGGGACGGGTCGCAATCGGCCCCGCCGTCGGCGGCGCCGGCGCCGCTTCCGACGGACCGACGCCGTTTCGCGAACAGCGACATCAGCCTCTTCGCTCTCGCGGCACCTGTGAAAAAAATGTACATCATTGACACCGCACACGCACACAGGAAACGCAGCAGTAGCGCTGTCGATGCAAAGCAATAACAACGAAACCGTACATACACCTCCTAGGACCGCCGGCCCAGGGAACACGCGGATATGAAAGCGGTGTACGTATATACGCATACCATCGGTTCTTTCGTCTGTCTTTTTTTTTGCCCAGAAAGATGAAAGCATCGGCTCTAGTGGTCGGCGAGCACAGTCAACGCCATAAAAAGAAATAAATCTCGTGTGGTCTTCCTCGTATGTGACCCCCGCTAATGCGTCCAAACAAACGTACCGAAAGGAGGAATGGCCAACGTCCAGAAAAGCGGGACAACGCCAAACACGCCAAGACATACTAACACCGAAGAAACAACAGTAACACACAACAGCTCACCTATCCACCGTCCACCCTTACTAGGCACCCCTCCACCGTCCTCGCCCCTCACGGAGGCGCCTCTGGATCTGTTGCAACACCCATCCCCGAGCCCCGGCCACGGCCACAGCCACAGCCGCTGACCAAACGCCTCCTTCAGGTTCGACAACAGCCCCGAGTCGTACTCCGATAGCCGGATCGACGCACCCGGTGACAGCGCGTACTGCCCCGGATCTCGCATGCTACGTTTCCACTGATACGGAAGTGGCCGGCGGCGGGAAGGGGTGGGGGGGGGGGGGTGAGGGGGGCTCATGGTTTGTACTCATGTTTTGAATGCTTAGCGGTTAGTCCATTGGCCACGCGTCCTCGAGAGGAGCCGGGGGGTGGTGGTCGGTGAACCAATGGCACTTAATCGACGCACGGTCATTCGTTCATGCGTATCAAGTGTTGTGCGCGCTCACCATAGAACTACGGGTTGTGTACATGAGCGTTCGCAAAAAAACTTAAGCCCATGTACATCGACACCCGCAGATCCCAGATATCCTACTATAATAGGGTGTTGAGAGACCGCGAACGGTTCGCAAACCTTAACCTTTCCTTGGTGCTGTGATGCCATGGGTAAAAAAAAAGAAAGGCATCGTCTCATCTATCCCAGCGTGGGAGAGCATCGACTGACCAACCACAACTGCTGCCGACAGCAGTCCCTGAGACATACCAGGCTCACGTGAGAGAACAACAACAAAAACACTGCGGGCGTCGCTGGGGCTGGTGATGCTACCAGTCCTGCTGGACCCAACAAAAACACTGCTGGCGTCGCTGGTGCTGCTGATGCTACCGGTCCTGCTGGCCCCTTCTCTTACCTTAAAGTATTCGATGGTGGTGACATTCCCGGCCACGAGGTAGCCGTGCCAGATGAGCAGGTACGACACCGAGCAGAAGACGAACCCCAGCACTAACCTGAGAACCAAGAGGACGGAGAGGGGAGAGAGCAAGCAAACAGCCCAACGAGTGTCGTTGTCGTTGTCGTTGTCGTTGTTGTTGTTGTTGTTGTTGTTGTTGTTGTTATTGTTATTGTTGCTGATGATGTTGTTGTTGTTGTTGTTGCTGATGTTGTTGTGGTTGTTTTGCTACGTCTTGTTGTTGCTGAGTTATGCTTGTTTTGCCACGTATATTCATTACGTTTCAGTAGCCTTCGCAGGATTTTTCTATTTAAGTAAACATGTTGAACAAATAATGCAGTCGGAGGTGTTGGGTAAAGGGTTGGTCTGCGTACCCCCTCCCTGTTCTATCTCTTCATAAACTTGATTTCTCGTGAAGGCAGTCCATACGCGTGCCTCCAGATTATATATAACATTGTTGGCCGCTAAGGCGCGACACAAGATAGTGGTGGCGCAAGTGTCAAAGGCGCTGCAGACAGCACCCATGTATCAGCAGACAATACTTTGCATCTACATCACACCTGGCAATTGCTTGCGAAAGGGACACAAATCGTGCCGCAGTCAGCATCAGCATACTTTAGCAGCAGCACACCAAAGCATGACCCCCGAGACTAGCGAAATAGCTCCGCCATCTTCACACACAACAGCAGCAGCGGCACACAGCAGTGTACAAATCAACCGCCACTGGGCCAAGTACGTCGCCCAGCGAGAGGAAAACTCCCTTCTCAATCTTACCCATCCACAGCGACTCCCGCCATCTCCACCCACCCCACCACAACCCCCCCCGATGTCGCAGCTGCGGAGCCGCTTTCGGGTGCGCGGCCCATCCTCCACCGCCTCCAGAGGATCACGAGCATGGCGCCCGAGCTCAAGCAGGCGTAGAGCAACGTCAGCAGGTACGCCTGTCGCGATAGTGTCAACGTCAGCGGACGGCGGGGGGTCTTGATAGGTGGAATTTGATTCGGGGCAGTGTGGTATTATTCAACAATGCTTGCTACACAGGCATATAGAGCAAAATCGGCAGGAACACCTGCTGTGACGGCAGGGGGGGGGCGGGGGGGATTTAGGTGGATATTGCTTTTTTTGACGGGGATGGGATATTGTTTTTTTGACGGGGATGGGGTTCCAAGGTCAAGCTCTGGAGTCGGACACGAAATTACGTCACGTCAGCCGCAACTAACCCCAAGCGATAACAAGTGTTAGTGTTAGTGTTGCAAAACATGTCCACCGCTCTCGAGCCCCTGCCGCGGTAGGACGACGACGAAATTGGGGGACCAAGAGCCCCGATTGTCGTTGGGGGTCGTTGTATACCGCTGTGGTGGGCAAACTCTTAACCCTAACAGAGGGTTTGCCGCCGTGCATCCATTGACTGCTGCCATGGCGGGGCAATCAAAAACAACTGCCGCTGGCCCTAATCGTAAGAACCTTGCCCCTAAAATAGCAAGAGAGCTTCACCCTTATCTTGAGACCCCCCAAACCCTAACCCTGTAATACAAGAAGACTTACTGAAAAGACTTCAAACACACCCCTTTCGACGGAGGTTATATCTCGAACAGGTAGTATTCTGTGAGGTTTATGTTTACTTTCTAAAACAAAGAAGAGGGTTGAGCATTACCTTGTAGTTTCCTGCACCGACGCATCGCCCCACCCAGTGGCAGTGGTGGTCCATCTTGAGGACACACCTGTCGCCAACGACGACGAAAAGGGAGAAACGAAACGACAAAACCATAGTCGCGTCACGTCAAGGCAAGGCCAACGCCGCCGACTAATCAAAAACTCGCCCCAAGTGGACGTCATCGACCCGAAAATGACGTAGCGCCAACGCGAGATAGTCAACGATTCGGGACGGAGTCAACAAAGAGGATGATAAGATTGGGGGCGGGGGGGAGACGTGTAGGATTCACGTTGTCGGGTGTACCGGCGTTAACATTGCAAAAACAAGGCTATGGATAGAGAAATCTTTAGTGTGTTGGGAAAACAAAAAAGATGGAGCAAGCGGTCAGAATGGGGCATACACGGGGGGAGAGGGGGGCGCTGCTACAAGGCAGCAGGGAGGGGAGGACAACAAGCATCACCAGCCGATTGCAAAAAACCGCCGAAAACGACCACTACAAAAAAAAGCACACGCCAGTAGTAGAAGGAATGTAAACATCAACAATGTCTTATTGCCCTCCTCCAAGTGTGTCCGCCAGCGCTGGGCGGGGGAGACTCTTTCGCAATGCGGTACCAGTAAAAACACCAAGGGAGAGCGGAAGACAAACAAACAAACAAACAAAAACTCTCACCGGTTGCATATTCGGCAGTGGTGAGCCCTTGCCGGCTTGAGGTAGTTGCACAGAGAGCAGACCTGCGTGAAGTACTGTTGCTGCTGTGGCGTCAAGAAAAAATGGGCCAGAAAAAACACCACACCAGAACGAAGGAGAGGGATGCGGGACGACAAAGAAAGCGGTGAGACTCTCTCGTTGTTTGTTTGTGCATTCATATATCTGGCGACGTTCACATCTCAAACCGACCGCTTTCGCTGCCAGATGCTGAAATCAACACGCCCCGCTTCTCACAATACTTATCCTTCCACGTGGGCGACGTGCATGTTGCTGCAGCAGCCGACAACACGTCGACGCTTTCGGCAAACACGTCAGGAGCACCTCTAGGATCAATATGTGACTGCTCCGTCTTGATGTGTGGCAAACGCCTCTAGCCTGGCAAGACAACACAGTAACGACTACGTTAGATAACACCCCCCCTCGCCGAACCTACCACCAACACCATC